AGATAATGGTGGAAAGAGTAATGGTTTCATTTTTGTTTGTTTGTCTGTTTTTTTTTTTTTTTTTTTTTTTGGCTTGGCTTTCTGTCATATTTGTTTGGCTTTCTGCTTTAGTTTGTTTGGATGTGTGCTGTCTTGTCCATGACTTTTGTTTAGTTGTGTTGGTTTTAGTTTTTTTTTGGATCATTAACTGGTAGGTTTAGAAGTTTGGTTAGTTTCTATTTCAATTGGGCAAGGGGGGAGTGTAATGATGTTTTTCTATTTCAGAAATTGGTATTTTTATAGTCAAGAAATAGAAAATTCTCTGTTGGATTGTGGATATGTGGGATTAGCATGTAGGAATTCTTTCTGGAACTTGGTCTTGAGTTTAAGTATTATTTTTTCTTTTTTGGCTTTTTTCTTAATGTTTTATGATTTTCAGATATGGGTGTCAGGGGATGTTCGGATGGGACAAAATACCTATACCACATGTGATACAGTCTAAGCACTCAACTGTGTAAAATCCAAAAAAACAGAAAAGTGTAGAGAAATATGTCAGATGGTTTATGATTTAATTTGTAAATCATTTTAAAAATTGTGCATACTGACCCTTCAATATATATGATATTTTAATTATTTTCTTTCTACTGTAGATTAATTTTTGGTTTATTGAGATAAGAAGATATTATTGTTTTTTGGTGTTAGAGTATGGATTCATAAATGGTGTTGCTGTATGGTGTCGGATAATGGTGTTGGTGTATGGGTTTAGATTATGGTGTTGGAGTATGGTTTCAGATAATGTTTTTTTTATGGTATAAAAGGGTGAAGAAGAAAAGTTTGAATCTTAAAATATCTGGTAATTTTCTTAAATAACTAAATTTTACAGAGCGCTAGCCTAATGTAGATTTGAATCTTTGGAAACATTGATTAGGTTTTGATTGACCTGAAATTAATTTCAATTTCACAATTTCAAAGTTTGGTTTTGACATTGAATATAATTATGTAAAAATGTCTTAAGAAGTACTAGAACTGTACATCATTTGCAAATACCTCAAACTAGAAAATATACCTCAAAGTGCCCTTGTTAAGCTATGGAATACTTATTCTCTGTTTTTTTTTACATTGCAGGTATTGGTGATAGTTTTAGGGTAGGCAGGGAGAAATCCTGCAGGGAGCTCATCGTCCCTGTCCTGCCGAGATGGATTGATTGGTGTGAAAGGCAAGAAATTTGGAATGACTCTAAGAGCATGTAAACAGAAGTAAGTTATTCTTTAAAAGGAAGAAATGAAGAAACAATAATTTTTAAAAGGATAACAAATGGATTAGCAGGTCCTGGGAGAAAATTATTACATTTGACCAACATCTACTTGACTTTACCACACGAATGACGTCGTGTAAAGATTCTGATGCTCTTACCAGTTGTGCTACAGCCTGTCCTTGAACCTCATTGCTTTTGCAGCAATGGGGTCATAACTTAAACCTTTTCAATGATTAATTGTACAGTTTAGTTTAGCAAAGTACAGTTTATGTATACAATCTAATATTAGATTTACCTCTTAGCATTCAAAACGTGCAAGATAGGATAGTACCTATTTTTTGGTTTCTCGGTGATGCAGGGTAGATCGGCTAACACGGAAAAATAGTTTAGTTGTTTTCATTGGGAAATTAACTTAGGTCCTGTTTGCTTCAGGTTGTACACCTTAAGGATCCCTCAAGAGCTTGATTGGAAAGTATGTAGTATGCAATGCAGGCAAAATTTCCCTAATTGTACACTACAAAGCAGGGAAGTTTTTCAACATTTAGGATTAACAGTAAAATTCTGTTGTTTTTCAGATATGTGTTGATGTGAATGAAATGGTTTTCACTGAGAACATATCTGGTTGTCAAGATAGCTTCGTCCAGGTCATCTAGCTGCTGTTTGTATTCAGGTATTGTTTTAGTGAAATACTCATGTTTCTTTCTTGTTTTGTAACAGAGCTCTTACAATCTTTTATCGAGACTATTATATCTGATATTTTAGTATAAAAGTCAGTTTACAGAGCATGTTTTAAGAATGAAGGCATATAATGGGTTAATTATGTTATATTCTGAAGGACAATTGGAGAAACAGATTCAAATTTTGCATAAAAATTTATCCAATTATTATTGTTCAATAAATGTGTGTAGAGCTATAAGTAAAGATTTCTTTTATTATTTTTCAGTCAATCATACACTGAGTGTTACGGCTAAAGTTATAGAAACAATAGATATAAAGATAGATGATACAGAGAGTCTTGTAGTTATATTCTGAAGAAAGAAAGTAAATGAATGAATGAAAGAGATTGCTCAAGATATTGGATTGTATTGATAACGCGTCATGACATTTAAGATCGTTTTGATTACGAAACAATTGAAATAATGCTGTAAATGTTTTTCGACATTTCTATCAAGGTCACAGTGACAAAAGGAAGTATTCGCCCTGTCTTGGAAATCTGTACATGGAAATCATAATGTAAGAGGATTTGTCTGCTTCCCTGATTGTGTGGAATCATCATGCAGCAATAATGTTAGATTAGAATGGTCTCAAGTTACATTGGCTATATCGTTCAGTTATAGTTGTGGGAATTTTACTAATGAAATAAATTGTTTTATCTAACTAATTCTTATTTTCTAGTTGAACTTCTGCATGTTGCATGTTGAGGCCACAACACTATTTCATTTGATTTGATCACGCTTGTTTTTTTTTGGCTTTGCTGACTGTGCAGTGTGGTAAATTGAGCCAACTCTTTTTTGAAATGAGGTTTTGTAAACTTTGTATGTGTATGAGGGACATAACATCAATTTGCATCATTTGATTGCAAGAACCACATAAATCTGACTAAAAATTGGAGTGGAGCAAATAGATGCTTTAAGTGTAATACAACAAGTTTCCAAAACCACAATACAATTTTTTGGGAGGATTTTGGCTCGTATGTCAGATCTGAACGAAGGGTTGCACGA